ACGAATCCCCATACCGACTCATTACTTAAAGGTCCAATAAATAAATATGTATTCAATAATTTTTAGGCCATAACTAATTATTCTTGCATATTCTATATTTTTTTAATTTAGCTAGGTTTTTGAATTTTGAAAATGATCTAAATATTGTGACAAAATCATAAAAAAGGATATACAGGGAGCTGTTTTGAGGTACATCTGGAACCACATTTTGCTTTTTAGAATAGTAACAAACAAGCCTTAAACAATATCCGTATCCCACGTAATCTAGTAGAACAAGAAATGTAATACTGAAAATAGCCGATCTTTAGTAACTTTTATGACGTCTTAAGATCCTTAAGTACCTATTAGTTCTATTAAATATCTTAGTGACAGTATTTTAGAGTTACTACTGAAGTTATTAATGTTACTTTTAGGTAACTGGTATTAATTTAGTATCCTGGGATACAAAACCTCAGCTGATTTACAGAGGGTGATTTTTGTTTCTCACCTCTTTCATAGGTACCACATTCTCAGTTATTACCTCATCGCTTTCTTCGTATTCAGAAGACACTTAGGTACTTGTTCCATCCTTTTCTTTATAAAGTTAAATATAACCAGCCTAAATCCACCTCTAACAACCAGTTATATACCTACCTATCATACTTGACTTATAAAAGAAAACTTTTCCCCTCCTCTGGCAATCCGCCCTTTGTCTCATCTTGAAGACATTACACTTATGGATACCTTTGTTCTCTTTTTAATTAAAAAGTTTCATACCTAATAGCTGCATTCAGCCCTGAAGACACCCCTTGGGCCGAAACCGAAACATTTTAAACCGTAAAAAAGCATTTTGTGATATTGATTTTTAGTACTTACCTACCTATATTTATTTTTGTTCATGAAAATGACCACATTCAAACCCTTATAATTTAATATCTAAATAGTTAATGGAAATAAATGTTGCTCAGGAATTTTAGCTTTTACAAATGTATAGTCTTTCTAGACACAATCCAACACGGCATTATAACCGACTAACGCCGACTTCAAAGGGACCGCGCACATGAATGTATCGTTTTTTATTATTAAAATTAAATAAATTAAATTATTACTAGGGTATAATTCTTCCATTATCAATAATTGGAAGGCATTAAATGCCGTTATTTAGACAGATGCACTTAATTATAGTTCTACTTGAAACTTAAAAAAAAAATATTATAGCAAGTTAACTTGCTACAACTGAATATTAAATTATAAAAAGTAAATTGACGAGTAAAATGTTCCTGCCTGTAAGGGCGTTTAGTTTAAACAGGGTACCAGACGTGAACTGTGCCCTTTTTTGTACCCCATTCGTTTTTTTCTGGGAAACGAAATTTCAAAGCAAAAACAATAAAGGAAAATAAATTCTTTACAAATAAAACAAAATTATAAATGTATTAATGTGACAATTCTCGGATTACCAATAATGAAAAATAAGAAAGTTAATCCGAATCTAAATCAGAACCATCTGTCGAGGAATCGAGGTTTGGATTTATAACTACTGGAGCTATAGAAGGTAAAACATAATATTCTTTTCTATTTTTAATGATGTGATTAGCGCTGTTTTTCCAAACGTCAGTCCAAGACGGATCTTTAAAAACGCCATTAATATTTTCCAAAACCACATTTGTTAAGGTAGGTGCAAAAATATTACGTCTCAGTTTTTATTTAACTGAAGACCAAACTAACTCAATTGGATTAAGTATACAATAATAAGGTGGTAACCTCAATACAGTATGACCACCATCTTTTGCAAAATTATCAATATAATACTGTATTGGAATATTCTTACTTTTAACAATTTCTAACAATTGTAGTTTTGTTTTTACGGAAGCAGGAATATCAATGTTATTATCTTTTAAATATTGTATTATAATTGATTTCTTAGAGCCGCTATTTGGCTTCCTATGAATTTGCCGGGAATGATATGACGCATTATCCATTACAATGACTGAATTTGGTGAAATATTCGGTAAAAGTTGTTCAGCAAACCAGTTCTCAAACACTGCTGCATTCATATCTTCATGATAATCCAGCAGAGCTTTATTGATATTTTTTGCTAAAAGTAGCAAAGCGTTTGGTACAAAGCCATTTTCATTTCCGGCATGTAAAATTATGACTCGTTTCCCCCTCGAGCATGGTGCATTTAAAACACAATTTTGTGAACCGTCTGCCCAACCACGTTGAACGACGTCATGAGTGTCGAACCATGTTTCATCTAAATAAACTATATTTCTATTGCTATTTCTAAATTTAAAAATTTCTCTTAAATAAATTTGACGTAATTCCACAGTTCGACGCGACTCCATAATGCACATTCGGCTATCTAACTTTTTATATCTAAAACCACAAGTTATTAAAATTTGTCGAATTGATTCTAATGGATTTATATTTGAAATCTTCAAAATCTTGTAATTTTCTAAAAAATATCTCTAAGGTTGGGACTTGATTTTCTTTATACGTGTTGTAAACCGTTCGTCGAATTACATCTTTAGATGCATCATCTATCCGACGGCTGACAACACGTTTTCTTTTTTGACTGTGTTCAATAACACCTCGTTTAATAACGAAATAAATTCTGGAATAGGGAATTTTTGTTAACTTACATATTCTTTTAACTGCATCTGTTAAAATGTGAAATATTCGGATTTTCTGATTTAAGACAAACATATTTAAAATGACCTGTTGAACTTAAATATGTAAGTCTTGGTTTTTGAATTACCAAGATTGTGTTTCACCTTGATTGTCATTATTTTGAATTGCATTATTAATACGTATTTCATCATTAATTTGTACTGTATTTAATTGTACTTCATCATTATTCTGAATTTCATTATTTATTGCAAAATCATTATTAATGTGAATATCATCATTAACCTGCAATTCATTAGCATCTACATTTACCTCAAATGGTCTCCAGAAAGCCATCTCGTACAACACAAATCAAAATTTAACAGAAACACCTTAAAATAAAAACAAGAAAAGTGTATAGGTATAACAAACGTTTGAGATAAATTATAAAAACTTATTTCGAACACGCCTCCAAGTTCCCGATTGCGATGTTTTTATTGGTAGACAAAAAAGATGATGGGCTTGTAACACACGTTAATCAAGTCCACGTTGTCTACAGGCTCCTGTGTTTTAAAAGGGGAGTATACAATATTTTTAGCGCTTATTTGCAATGTGAGGATATAGCATTCTCAGCGCTTATAACGTAAATTATTACGCGCCTCCGGTACAAACGCTATGTTGGATTGATTTTGGAAAGAGTATACACCATTAACTTTTTAATTTTTATTTGATTTTTAATGTACGTTTTTGTTATTAATTTAGATTATAGAACAGGGTAATTAATATTATTTTATATTCTGTCATGTTGTTCCTTTTCGTTTCCCAAAATTTGTTATTTTCATTTGCATTATTAATAAAGTCCTATCACTGCATATTAGGTTTTGCTACAAGAAAATATTTGTAAATAAAGAAACATTATTTCTTATAATTAAAGTACTTACTATTTGTGAATAATCCTTTGTTTTCCATCGTAAAATCCACATTCACATTGTTAAATCTTCTTAAAATTCGTTTTCTTTACGTACCTTTAAATAGGTATAAGTATATTTTGTAAACAAATTCTCATTTTAAAAGTTCGTTTTGTCTCGACGCTCTTGACTCTTGCCGATTTTGATTTTCTTTGCAGTCGTTGTAACAAATTTTGAGCTCATTGCTAAAACATATCTTTCATCGTCACCTGCCGAGTGTTCTCTGGGCCGACAAAGACAGAGAAAACTGTTGATAGGGACGTATCTCGAATATCGACACACTTTACTTCATACTGTCATTTGGAAAAGCGACGTTGCCAAATTTACCATTTAGAAGATAATTTAGGGAGTGAATAAAGTTATGGGTTCATTAGCTAACGAGAGATTTTAACAATCATTCTTGCAGCCGGCTCTAAATGTTTAAATAATATTTATCTATTGTAGGTGTATATATTTGGATTTAAATTTAATTTATAAAAACTAACCACTTATCCAAGTAAAAAAATTATAGATTAGAAATTGTTCTTATAAGTAGCTATTAATATTCATAAAAATAACAAAAAATTAAAAATAATTATCAATTTTAATCTACGCTACGTCACTTTGTGCATTGTTCAGAATTATTAAAATAGAGAACAGACGTTTAATTATTTTTTCTATTTCATTCTTACTACAATACACATATAGATGGAATTACGAGATGTTAAATTAAAATTTTTTGTCCTGCGTTTAATTTAAATCGTCCTATGACTCTGTTTATTAATAAAACGGCTTTTATATTTACATTCGATTAAATGGACTGTGTTTTTAACCGACTTCAAAATAGGAGGAGGTTCTCAATTCGTCATATTTTTTTTATATGTATGTTCAGCGATTATTCTTTAACACGGTGTCCAATTTCAATGATTCTTTTTTTGTTAGAAAGGGGGTACTTCAGGGGTGGTCCCACATAAATTTGTTCAAATTCTAATGATTTGGGCCATGAGAAAATCCTTAAACTCTTCATTTTTTATGTATGTTTAGCGATAATTCTTTACCACCTTCTATTTCTATGATTCTTTTTTTGTTAGTAAGGGGGTACCTCAGGGGTGGTCCTCTATAAATTTAGTCAAGATGTGCTGATGGCATTTACACGATTTTAAAGTCGGTTTTTTTAAATTACTTGTATAACTTGTTTATTATTAAAACAAAACTGTTATTACACATTATTTATTTACAAATGACAACAAAGGTAAATCACAACATGTAAAAATGCCATTTTCTATTAATAGTTTTCGGAACTTTAAATCCATTCTATATATAAATATTTTTATTTACGTGTTAGATATATTGTCAGTATGCCTGTTCATATTTTACAATAATAGTATTAATAACATACAATTGTTCAGGTCCGACACTTATTTAAAATGACAATTTTCCAATAATTGAAAAAAATATTGTTTGCAGGTCTGAACAAACTTTTGGAATACTACCAAATTGCAACCATTGTTTCTGCTTTGCTTGCATTAGAAAATGGAGACAGAGTAAGGAATTTGAATTAGATGTTTGTAAAAGCTGTCCCGAATGTAGAGTTGCCTCAGGTTAGTAAATATAGTTAATAATCCTTTTAAATATTCAAATAAATACTTATTATGTCATACTAGTTCATTATTGTGTTTTTATTGCTTAGTTACCAACTATCTAATGTCGTACTTTATGCCCGTGCGGGCATAAAGTTGACTTTATGGCCCGCGCGGGCATAAAGAGAAATAATTTTTTGTTTAACTTATTTAATAACCTTTATTAATGAAATTACAAACGGAATATAGCAATATATGTAAATATTCGATGAACGTTATTTTGACGAATTAACATAAAATTGGCAGTTCTGAAAAGATCCGGTGATAGTTAAGTTTCCTGCAGCAAACGATTTATGTTTCATTGTTTGAGTATCAAATTTCTGTACCGAAACGCCAGACCCGGAAGGTACACCTGCCAGCATTCTTGAAACTTTATTTTTTGAATATAAATTATCCTCTAAATATCCTTTAGCAACCGACGTACTCTTCCATCCACCATGGCGCTTTAACGTGGTCACACTGGCTCCAGCCTCTGCAAGAAGAGTTGCTGACGTTCGACGCATACAATAACTAGTATATTTCTCAGGATCACTTAAACCCAGATATTTTGCTATAGTGGACGGGATTTTTCCAAACGTGTTTTTTCCTGCTGGCTGTACAGTACATCAACCTTGTCTATAGGTCAGAAAAACTATTTTTTCTGAGGAACTACGTGGCCGTAGTGACTAATCTCTTATTAGCTTTAAACTGTTCATTTCACCCTCATACAATAACCAGTATATTTCTCAGGATCACTTAAACCCAGATATTTCGCTATAGTGGACGGGATTTTTCCAATGTTTTTTCCTACTGGCTGTACAGTACATCAACCTTGTCTATAGGTCAGAAAAAGTCTTTTTTCTGAGGAACTACGTGGCCGTAGTGAATAATCTCTTATTAGCTTTAAACTGTTCATTTCACCCTCATCTATAATGGTAAAAATGCGTTTTTTATCGGTCTTTGTCTCTGGTACATTTACCACAAAAACCGATTTTCTATTTTCTACATGAGTAACTAACATGTTCACAAGTTCTTGCCGTCGACATCCACCAAATAGTCCAAATATTAATGCAAATTTGTTCATTAAAGACTTCTCGTTCGGTGCCTTATGAATAAATTTTAAAACATCTTCTCTAGACAGAATTTTAGACTTCTTTGGTTTGTAGCCTTTTGAAGTTTGCTTCAAATATTCCGTTAACTTATGGTAATTAGCAATGTTAATATTTTTATTTACTATAGAATATTTGGACCACAAGGAACTCTGAGAAAATGTTTTAGCGAGATCGCCGAAGTATCCAAGCAACACAGTTTCATTAACATCTTTTACGTAGTTTTCTTGCATCCAATTTAATAATTTTTCGTATTTCATGTCGTAAGCTTCTTTAGACTTTTTTGGCAACAAATTTTCAGTTGCTTTCTTTGCTTTTTCAATAATTTCGTCAGGAATTCCAAAATCTTCGTTCATCTTGACTTCTAACTTTGACACATATAAAAATTATTGTGATTTTATGACATTTACGTTTGTCAACATTTACCTAGCAACGATAGTGTCTACTACACATACTTTGATTACTATACGGTGCAAGAGAGAGGTCCGACACGCCCAACATAGGGCGCGGCCATTTTGATTCCTATGCCTCAGTTTATAACTAAAGAATCAGATCGCTCACTCTGAGTCGGCACTTTTGATCTCAATGTTCCAGTTTATACACTGCGCAACTCGGATAATACAATATATGACAACCGCCTATAATAAAACAGCAGTCTTCTGCGTATCCTGAATTTGTATCCCTGGAGTGGATGTTATTTTGGAACTTTCAACTGGTCCGAGTGAGATAACTGATTCTTTAGCAATAAACTGTGACTCCAAAAATAATATTCACTGACACTGACAGCAGCAAGCAAAATATCAGGTGCGTTTTAATCATCCGCTTCTGCTTCGGAATTGTCGGTTTTCTTGTTTTAATCTGACATATTAAAACGACTAAACCAATGATTAAAACGCTCCTATTAAAAATATTGCGCCAAGATGTAGGCAACACGTAATAAGGGATCAAAATGGCGGAGTTTTCTATCTCTTTTTAAAAGGCACTCAGAAAGCTGCGCAGTGCGACCATTCTCCGTATAGTAAAAGAAAATCAAAGTATGTGGTCTACTATGATAAAATGGCAATTTTATTAATTCAAACCGGATTTTTTAAAATACTGATTTATATTGAGATTGGATTGCAATAACGAATTAGTATGACATAAAAGTTTGTATGTACCGCGGGCATAAACAGATGTGTATTGGTACATAAATAACTATTACGATCTTGTTATTTACAATAATTTTTTTTTCCAGATTTTGTATATCCTTCGAAGGTTTGGTTGGAATCTAAGGAAGAAAAATTAAATTTTATTGATAGCCAGAGGCAAAGAATGAAGAAACAAGACTGCAAATATTTCCGTAAGGGTAGAGGAAAATGTCCATTTGGAAACACTTGTTTATATCTACACGCCTTGCCTAATGGAAAAACTCTTGATGTAGGGCCACCTTCAAATAGAAGAAGAACTCCAAAAGGCAGTAAGTCATTTTTTAAATTCCACAAAATAGTGGGGCGCTCGATTTTCTTAAATATTTTAACCTTATATTATAAAGCCTACAGACTGAAGATGATGTGAATTCAATTAATGCGTTGGTAACATTAATTAGGAGCAGTTGAAGTTTCGGTCGTGATTAGCTTCTTTACTTCATGAAATAAATTTTACTGACAGCTTTGTTTTAACTTTTATGTAATTTTGACTCTCAGAGCTGAAATAAGTTGACTGGTTGAGTGGCTAGTCGAAATGAGAATGACTCTAAAGCCATACATATATATTGCACCTATTCTTCAATGGTGACATAGATACCTATAGTCATTATTTAAATTTTAGTAAGTTTATCATCCACTTGGTGGATGATAAGCTTTAGACATGTTTTCCAGTATCTAGTAATATGTTTTTTTGTCAATTTGGTTATTTTTTTTTTAGATCAATGACATAACTGATGGAGGCGCAGTTGTGACTATAGTCGCTCGCCTATCACAGTATAGTCTCAGTCGATGATCTTGGCGCTGTATTGATCCTCTGGGACATACAGAGCGCCTCGCTCACCCTGTGTCTTCTGTCTTCTTGTCTCCATGCTCGTTCGCACTGCAATATAGTGCATAAAGATCTGCCGGTTCTTATGGAAACTTTTCTTATCAAGCTTCACGTAATCCTACAATTCGACCTCTTACAAAGATACTAAGCTGGGAAACCTGGCGAATTTTACGAACTCGAGGCAAAACCTAAACAAGCTATAATCAATTTAAATGTGATCGTACACTCTCGTCAACTGAATTCTCCATTATCACCAAATGAGCTTACAGTTACCACAAAAACTCCAAAGATAAGCCTCAAAATTTAATCACTTGTTCATGGCAAGATATCTCGATATGTAAAAAATTATTAATCGGATAAACATGTATGGGTGTTTACCTTTTTTTGTCAGTCCGTATAATTATTATATTCTCCATACAAAATACTAGATTTACTCTTATTTTTTTTTATAGTACTTGAATCAGAAGCTGAAATACTCCAACAAATATTGTTCTGGATAAACGATGATGATAATGATGATGAGTTAATTTTGTCCGATGATGAGGACGATGATGAGGATTTTTTCTTTGAATATTACGATAGTACTAACGATTTTGAATTTGATCTCGCTTTGCATAATTACATAAATGGCTCAGATGATGATTCAGACTTTGATTTTTTTAGATAAATTTAAATAAAATACTGAATAAAATTTCGTTTGTTGATATTTTTCTACTTATGGTATTTTTAATTATATGTAACTTTTAAGTAATACAGTTTAGTTTGATTTTGCTTATTTGGATTTTTATTTAACCTAAAAGGTTTTACAAAATATGAATATTTTGAAAAATATAAGGTAAGTTTCTTTTTAATTTTCAATTACATTTTATTTACCATGTTAATGTTAGGAATTACATTGCTTTTGTTCATATTTTACATTATAATTTAGTTCATTCAGAAACAGAAATTAACAAAAACAAATCCTAACTTGATGCTTTTTTCGACTGTTTATGAAAGTCGTCAAAATAAACATATTTTCAAATAAGAAATTAAATTTAAAAAACCAAATCCGAGCCTGGATTTGGGTATGAAAAGTTAACCTAATTAAGAAGTCTTGTTTGTATCTATCTTTTCTACCTTTCTTTTTTCGGTTTTTCTTATGCATCACTCTTCATTGTGTACCGGTTATTGTAATTCAATCACGTGTATATGTGAAGTTAATTTAAATTGTTCAATATGGTAAACTATGACAACGTACTTGTGGATATTTTTCGAGTGTCTTCGAAGTACAGTTGCTGCATCGGTTTTGTACAGGAATACTTTCCCTTGCTAACCCATCCTATCCCTAGAACTTTTATTGATCTGGCTCACCGGGCTAGGGATATGGGCTTTTTACAAGAACATTGTGGAGGACGTATAGGAAGGCCGAGAAGATATGAACTTCGATTAGAAGAACACATTTTAAATGTCGAGGAAAATCCAACAAGTATGCAGGTGATTGCAAATCAGCCGGGAGAAAGTCAAAGAAAAATGTGGACAACATTGCGGGAAAATCAATTGTATCCCTTTCACGTTCACGTTCAACGTGTTCAAGAACTAAAACTTTAAGAGTTCTTCCGCAAAGTTTAGTTTTGTGAATGGTTCTTACAACGGCATTAATGTGGTCAATATTTTTGGACGAAAGTTTTAGTTACAAACGAGTTAACATTAACCCGAAATGGAAATAACAATTTCCGAAATACCCAATTTTCATATCGATTTTTTGTAAATGTGTGGTCAGGAATTGTGAAAGGATTACTTGTTGGGTCGTACATCTTACCGGACCGTTTGACGGGCGAAATTTATCTTGATTTTTTACAAAATGATTGCGTGGTCTGTTAGAAAACTTGTGGCTTCTGCAGAATGGGACACCTACTCATTTTAGAAGGGAAGTGTGGGAATTTTTAAACAGGTACTTTCCCGAATAGGTGAATTAGTCAAAATAGACCAGTTGTGTACACCGAGGTCATCCGACCTAAATCCTTATGATTTTTTTCTTGTGGGGTTACATGAAAACTTTATTATCGAGGGCCACAAGGCAAGACCCCGTAAGTCGCAAAATCGCCATTTTTCATGAGATGAAAAAACCGTTTCACAAGTGTATTGAACAATTCATTGTACTACAAAAATGGTAATACTTCCACTATACAGCAGATGGAGCGAAATGTTTTAAACGAGATTATCATAACATAATTTTCAGTGGGAATGTTAGTTACGAGGTCCTGCGTTGTGTCCCTCGATATGCCCCGACACTCTCACAAAATATATCTACTTTAAAAATAATTTTGTCTGCTTAACCCCATTCAGCCAGAAGTGTTTGGAAAACCACTGTAACGGCAGTCGTGAATCGTAGTGTAGTCTACCGGAGGGAGGGGACTTCTTTTGACAGGCACCTAAGATATATAAAATTTATCAAAACTTACCAAAGCACTAGGTGATCCAGTTGTAACAACCAACTGGTCTAAACCCGTGTAGCAACTTACAGGTCTTTAACTACGATTACACAGGCCTGCGTTTAAATACTCTGTAAAATGTGAATTGAACTTTTCAACTGAAATTGGGTATTTCAGTGACGCTGATTTCAAATCTGCTTTTAGTTTTTTTTCTATCACGTAAGGTTTTTAAACAAAATACTACTTAGGATAAAAAATAAAATAATAAACCAAGAAAACAAACAATAAAACCGGGGAAGTAGTTAAAAAATAACACATTAATCCTTTGTTACTTACACTGGCCTATTGCAATTTTTGACGGTTGCAATTGCCAATTCCTCTTATTCTTTCTCTTCCAACAATAATAACGCAAAAAATTTATTTGCGTTCATTTTAGTACATTTCGTTTACATTCATAATACATAAACAGAACGCACAGACATAGAGAACGTCTCATTTTCTATATTTAACAAACCATCTCGGGCGATATCGCTGACCTCAGCGATCGAGGGACTGTCCGCTCACCGCGACAGAGTGTTAAAGAAACCAAAGCTTTACGTTTTTGGAGCCAGGCGTTAAATTTTTTCTTGGTGACCAGTTTTTTTTGGTCCAGTGGTCATCTCTTGTTCTACTGTCCCACTCACATAGGAAACATGGGTAGGTATTTCGTATATCCGCATTGTTGACCTAAAAGCAACCCTAAAATTTTAAGGTCACCACATAGAATCCAGTTATGTTGTCTGTAGTTTATTCTTAAAAGCAGTACCTGAAGATTTTCGTAATTTTCTTTTAACTGAGTTGAATGACCAACAGGAACAGATGCATATAAATTGCCATTATGAAGTAGAACAGCTTTAAGACTTCTCTCTGAAGAGTCTATAAAAAGTCTCCACTCGGCAGAATTGTATTCAGGAGCACCTAGGTGAATAACCAAGTCAGATACATTTTGACAATATACAAGTGAACCAGCTGCGGCAAAGTAATTGACAAATTCAGCCTCACGATTTCTATACCAATAAAATGTAGTACCTGGAGCAAGTATTTTGTTTTCTTTAAGCCTTGATCCTAAAAGCTCAGAAAGGTCTTTTGGAAGTCCCAAATCCCTGACTAAGTCATTCAGTTCTACTTGAGAAAATAGCTACGGTTCACGGGTTCCTGAGGTAGATGGCTCAAAAATGTCAATTTTTGAATCTGTTGAATATTCTGATTCGATAAACTGTAATACTTTAGGTGGAACAGGTACAGGTATAACAGCGTCATGTGGAACTGGTCTTATTGCAGACGAAAGATTAGGATAGTTAATATACTTTAGAGATTTTGTGTTATGACCTTTATTATCACAAAGACAAAAATAGCAGTCGTCAATGTGATTTTTAGGTTCTCTCCAGACCATTGGTATTCCAAACGGTAGGGCTTTTCTTGTTCCTTTAAACCAATGCCTCAAGGCTTCTTCGCAAATCTTGCAGATAACATGTGGCGCCCAAGGTTTATCTTGATCTCCAAGTCCGACTTTAAAATATGCATTTTTTACGAAATCAGTAATGTTTCTTTTAAACTTCTTCACTATAAAGTGTCCACAAATATAACAAAAGTCATCAGGCTTATTTTTACAACACCTACTAGACATTTTTTTAATAGAAAGTGCACAACGAAACACCGATAGAATTCGATAGACAACGCCTGTCTCAATACCACGGGGATAATAAATATATCGCCCTCTTTTCTGAATAAATCGAGTCTTGAGGAATCCCCAACAATATTCTAGTAAGTACCGGTAAATCCCCCTACAAATGCGCAAATTAAAACGAGGTTTTAACGCGTCTCAACGTTTTGAATTCAAATTTGTTCAGGGATAATACCCTTGATACTAGTTTACAAAAAAGTTTACGTGATAGAATAAAAAGGGGGTTATTTTAGCTATATAGAAGTTGTAAATAGGTGAAAAAAAAAAAAAAATAAAATGGCTAGATCACAAAATTTTTGCGGGCCTGTGTTATCAATATACTATTAAGGGGTGAAGGCAGCTCTCTGACCGGCCAAAGGTTCCTGAAGTCCGATAGGAATATCTATTCACTAGTGGCATAATAGTTATTAAGTGTGATAAGAGCTTTATTAACGTACGCATGCGAAATTTGCAATCGCAGAAGTACGTTAATAAATAACGCGTATATTGTACAAATTTTTGTCTACACCTCTAAATGAAAAATAAACGGTAATTACAATTTTTGTCCAAGACTTAATTATTTAGGGTTATTGTTCTCCACCACTGCCTACATGTCGATTGGCGACACATCAAAATGTTGGGTGGCGGTTTTAACAATTGAATAAAAACGTTTTGTTTTCTTAGCAACGATAATATTGTCATAAACAATAAGTCAAAAATAATTAATTTTTAACGTATTTGTGCATTTTCTAGTAATAAAATGAGTGATTCGGGAAAGTTTGCCATCCAATATTGAAGAACAAGCTTTAAATATACGTTACTTGTTTAGATTGTGATATTAATCTCTGTTCTTTACCATAGTAAACAGAGTCTACTTTTAAATGGTGTTCTGCATTTTTCCTACTTTACTTAAGACGCGACAACCTTGTATTTTTGTGCGTTTTTGCGATTCTGAGAATAAGTGTCGATATCGCATCTATCCATGAAACAAAAAATTGCAGTAGTTTTATGACGTTTAACTATGAAAAAGGTAGTGCATTTATTTAAGTCGAAGAGTAAAGACAATATTAAAATTTAATTTATTTATTTAATAATGATCGGTTACTGTTTTTTTAATAATCAATATTAAACGGGTGTAGTTAGTGAAATAAAGAAAAATCAGTATTTCATTGGACATTATTTGCAGAGATGGTATACAAATTCCTTTATACCTGTTCCATTTTGCAAATACGGAAATTGGGTAAAATGGCTGAATTGGTAAGTCAATTATATTATTGTTCATAAAGGTAATATATACACCTATTATGTAATATATTTTGGTCACTTTCGAGTTGGATTTTGCTTTTCGGAATTTGAATTTAGTAATAATACACAGAGTGGAAAGTTTAACTCAAAACAAATTTTATATCTTAATAAATAAAGGTTTGTAGCAAAATTCCTAAAAGATGTCCAATTTTTATTCGTTTAGTCATATCTATTACAAAGGAGTTTATTTTTAATGGCATAGTATGTTAATACCATTTGTGTGACATATCACTTTAGTGTCACAAAATTATAGGTTT